CATGAGGGCTGCACACCATTTTCTACTCAGAAATTGAAACAACTCTTAACATTGCCCTTCTCTACCTCATCATGTATTCCTACTTTCTGACAATTTCTAGCACAGGGAAGCAGCATTTAGGATGTCCAGCCCCCAGGGACAAAATGTGTTGGAACATCTTGTCCCCTTCTTTTGTCTGAGTCACCATAGCCAAATCTGAGCCTGCAAAACTCAAAAACCTGGGCTCTGAAGATGCTCTGTCGTGACCTTATTGAATGATGTATTCCTTCATGAAAGCGTTCAAAAAGTGGTCTTGACATAAATACTCATCTTGCATTTAGGGGTTCACACAGAGGTCTGTATGTTCCACAATTTACAGTTCTTTCTATGTTTGTATGCATGCTGTGTGCTCTGTGTGCTGTGTGTGTGTGTGTGTGTGTGTGTGTGTGTGTGCCTGATTGTGTGTGTGCATGCACATTCCTCATGGTGCCAAATGAAACCCAGAAAAACTATTTGTGCTTTTTAAATGAGAATGTTAACTCATGACCCAGAGTCACAACGCTGTTACTTTATTATGTTTTTTTTTAAATGTGAGCGTATTTGTTGGGGCAAATGTCACTGACTGTACTTAATGAGAAGGAAGTGCACAGAATTGGGAATTTAGATCAAAAAGTAATTTTGGTACCTATGATTTTGGCAAAGGATTTTGTGCTAGTGTTGCACTCCCATCACTAGGAAGTATATTTGCTAGCGGTACTCTGCCTCCAGGCTATAGGCCCATCATCCCCTGTCCCACACTGTGCTCACCTCTCCTCTTTGCTTTCTGCAGTCTGCTACTCACTTAGTTTCTGATGAAGTTCCCCGTGTGCCACAGCATCCCAGCAAACCAAGGACTGCTTCAGCTCACCTGTGGAGTAAGCGTGCAACACAACACTTGAAGGTCCTCTGCAAAATAATACGCCCGCAGAAGTGGACATCAGTACATTTCTTTCCTAAGTGCTGTTATGCATTTGCAGAAGACCATATTCAGGCTGAAAACGTCTTTTACAGGTGTAGGGAGTGACTGAAGCTGGAGATCCATCACACTGCCCGAAGAGCCAGAGAAAGGACCTGTTCCAGCTCAGAGAACAGGAGGTGCTCAGGCCAGCCAGGCAAGCTGGCAGAGGATCTGAGATTGGCATCATGCTTAGGAGACTATAAATAAACTCCTTCAGCAGGTGAACAGCACCTTCCCTCCCATCCGAAGAGAGGGCTGAACTTGACATCAGCATTCTGCATATTGTCTCTATTTCTCCACCCTCCAGCCATCCCTCCCTCTGGGGTCGTTAAGAGCTGAGTGATGCAAACAGGATGCTTGTGGTCATATCAAGAAGAATAAAACAGTAAGACAGAGATGCTCCTGCCCTTGGGTCACAAGGTTGGCTTCCCCTGTGGAGGTTCCAGTGTGAACCGAAGCCCTGACTGGCACTGCAGTGGACGGTGACCGACTTGCCTGCAATGCGCAGTCCTTCACAGGCTGTGATGGGGACATGGCAAACTGGTTTTCAACGAAACATAGAAGGCAGAATTAGCATTTTAGCTTCAGCAACAGCAGGCTCTACAGCAAGCTGATCAGTCAGTGATTAGAACAGCATTTACAGTGTATTAATTTTTTTCTGAGCAGAAGAAAAACACCTAGAATTTTGAAACTGGTAAAGACTTAGCAGAACTCTTCTGAACAGCTAAATGGTTAATGAGCAATCCAAATGGTTAGATTCTAAGAAAAACGCAAAGTGAAGAAAAAGCTCTTTACCTCTCCTTAGCCCTGCAGGTCCCTCTATATCCTGGAGGGCTTCCCCAGTTTGCCACAGCCACACGAGAACGTAAATGATGACCCACTCATAACAGGACCTTGAACTTGTAGTCCTGTGCCAGAAAAGGTTTGTAATACTGGGGTGCCCTCATTTTTTAAACTTAAGTAGTACGCCTCTCCTCTTACTTGTAAGATGCTTATTATCAGCATCACCATCACTTATTAATTTTCTTCTGCTTGCCACTAAGTACTAACCATTCACTTTTTACTCCAATTACCAAAGAACACAACTACAAAAACCAAAACCAAACTCCATATCTTTTCTTATTTGTGGAAATTTAATAAAGATGCTTGTTGGTGAAGACCCAAGATAATGAGATATTCCAGAATTACCAGTGGCTGTTATTTATCCAAGTTTATTCTTATCTTGCATTGAGATACATAATAAGAAATCAGTCTGCAGTAAAATCTTTGTCCCAATTACTAAGTCTATACATAGTAGCACATGTGTTGTTCCAAGTATATGTCATTTAAAGCTTAAAATGTTCTCTTTAAAGCATGCATATTTATCTTGTTGATGTTTACTTTGAGTAGGATTTTTCACCACATAATAAGCCCATCTTATTTTAATCAGTGAAGTACATAGATTAGAAAACTTTCATTCTTGTGATCTTATATGATCCCAAAGGATTTTTTTCTTTAAAAAAACACTGCCTGACATTCCACTTGGGATGTAAGAAATGTAAGGAACTAGACAAAGTTATAATTTTGCAAACTTAGAAGCTAAAGCACAGAGGCCAAATGCCTTGAAGCACTTTAGGGGAAGTGAGATTCAGAGAGAGAAGCAGAACAGCTTCCTGGGTAACTTTCTTCAGAATAGCATTCTAGCAAGATTTTGTGCAAATAACCAGCAAACACTTTTGCTGGTGGAATGTTCATTTGCTGCACAGAGCCCTGCTTTTGAATGTAAATTTGACGAGTGGATGGCAAAAGAAAGAGCTGCACACAGGAGCATAGTGTGGAGAGGGAAATGTTTCCAGTACGAGAGTTCAAAGGCCAAGCAAGAGCATACCTATCACTGCAAGGGAAGTGGGGCAGTCAGAGGGTTCCTTTGGAGATTTGTTTGCTATTGAAGTAGATGAGGGTGGGATGGGCCTGTTAGTTGAAGACTCTTTTAGTATTTTTTATTCCTTAAGATATGCAACTTCAGAGCTGGCCAAATAGCTTACTGGATTAAAGCACCTGCAAGCAGGTGCAGGAGCTGGGGGTTCAGTCCCCGGGCCTGCCCTGCTGGCCCCACTTCCAGGGCGCACTGAGATGGCAATTGAGACTGGGCATGGTGGTGCACACCTACAATCCCAGCTCTTGGGAAGCTGTAAACAAGCGGATCACTATGAGTTCAATCTAGTAGGGAGACCCTGAATGCCCTGTAGGCCCTTCCCTAAAATAAAAAAATAAAAAGACATGCAACTCCTAATTTGTATTACTAGCTGGTCAGCATATAGAAATATATAATTTTAAATGTAAATTAATAAAAGCAAATAAAACAAAGCACATGGTATCACAATCCCAGATTTGAAGTTATACTATAAAGTTACAGTGATTAACACAATATGGGCCTGGCATGTAGCTCAATGGAACAAAAGAAGCAAAAACAACTACAGGTTTGTACGGCTATTTGATCTTTAACAAGGGATGCAAAACATACACTGAAAGAAAGATAACTTCTGTATACAAGTGGCTTGGATAATTATACCACGGGTCCTGCTGCTCAATGGAAAGAACAGTTAGTGCTTATTTTTTCTTTCTCATTTTTCCACCTTTTTCTCTCTTCTTAATTTCTTCTAACCCCCCCCCAATTTTATATGCATATATCTTGCAATCTAAACAACTAAGTTGAAGATAATACAATGCAATACAACAAATGCTGTCACATTCATGTTATTGTTTAGTGAAATTCTGTATCTTTTCTAATTTTTTTTGGGGGGGACTGAGTGTTTTTATTAAATAACAATCAAATGGCAGCAAAATTAAGCAATAATTTTGGAAGAAGTGGGGACAAGGTGTAGGGTCACATGGCTACTGTTCATTTCACGATCTTAAAGTAGTTGGAGAACTGGGCCTGAGGTCCACTGATCAGTATTACATACTACAAACACAGGAGGGCAAGACTAAAATACTAAAGACCAAACACTATCCCCTATAGAAGACATTCAAAACTGTACACATTATCCTACCAGGCAGCAAGATATCTTAAGATTTGAAATCTGTGCACACCTGTAATTCCAGCGCTCAGGAGGCTGAGGCAGCAGGATTGTTGGGAGCTTGAGACCAGCCTGGGCTACAAAGTGAGTTCTAGCCCAGCCTGAGCTACATAGCAAGACCTTGTCTCAAAAGGAAAAAAAAAAAAAAGCGAAATCTGATTTTTCTCAGCAAGTTTTCAACCCAGTTAGGGGCAAAGTTGTAAAGTGAATAGACTATACATTCTTTCACAAAACAAAAACCTTAAGTATTTCTGAAATGATCTAGTACTTTCCCCTATTTTCATTTTCCATAAGGTTCTGTTTCCTTTTGTTTTATACCTATAAGTACCCCAATTTCTCTGGGGCCAAGAAGGATTTGGGGGAGGGAGAAAAGTATGATTGATTGCTTTGTGTGTGTTTTTTTTTCTTTGGTACTAGGAATTGAACTCAGGACCTTGCACTTGCCTAACAGGCACTGTACTGCTCAACTACATCCTCAGCCCACTGGAATAAGATTGAAAAAGCAACAGTCTTATCATCTTAGTCTTTTAGAAATTTTGTTTTGTAATAAATCATCTCAAATTAAAACTTGATTTTTTGTGCATTTGTGTGTTACTGGGGATGGAACTCTAGACCTGGCACTTGCCAGACAGACACTTATGCCACTGAGCTATCTCCCTAGTCCTAAAACTTATAAGATTTTTGCCAACCCTTTAAGAAATATTTATATTTACTAGCCTGAAACAAAAAGTTAGGAAGGTTTGTGCAATCTTCGAGGCTGATTAAAATGTAATTTAAAAAAAATCAGCCTTCCATTTCTGAAGTTGATAATCCCAAGGTGGGAGTGTGGCAGAATTCCTGTGACCCAGTACTCCATTGCTTAAGACCCTATTTTGTGGCTTGAGGACTTTTGAAAAGAATGGAGTAGATTGATAAACAGATGAATAAATATAGATAAATAAATACTACTCAGAAGGCAAATTTGTCAGCACCACCAACACTACAGGGAAGAGAACAAAATTAAAATGGTAAGGGATGGAAGGAAGGAGGTGGAAAGGGAAGACAATGAGGACAAGGTGGTGGGAGAAGTCTAGGCCTTAGAGCAAGTCCAGTTCAAAGGAGTGGATGCTGGCAATGGGAGCGCTCCAGAAGTTGAAGGTGTTGTACTCAAGGAGGATGTCACCTTTAGGGTTTTTCTCCTGCTCTGCTCTGGTCACTTTCCCAGTCATTTTGCCAGCACTGCTGTCCTTGCTCTTGTGAGTGGGTGTATCAGACAGACCCAGGTCTTCCAGCTCAGACAGATCCAGTTCTGGAATGGTCATTCTCCAGAAAAGAAAGGAGCTGTACTGGCTACTCAAGGGGTCCCTCATAGCTTCTTGTTATCAATGAATTACTAGCTCATTCCAAAGATGGAGAGAATAATACTTCAGGGTCTCAGAATCTGCTCTGGGCTGGAGAAAAAGGAAGCCGCTGGGGCTTTGATGGCTTTGTCTTCTCACACCCTGGACTTCAGTGACTCAGTCTGCCGGACCAGTCTCTCTTTTCTAATTTTTTATTATTAACATTTTATATTCTCTTTAAAAATGATCTTGGGAAAAATAAACATCCACATGCAGAAGGATATATATATATATATATATATATATATATATATATATATATATTTCCATTCACTAAATTAAAAATGTACCAAAGTTCTAAGTATTAAATAGAAATCCTTAATCTTCTAGAAAATAAAATAGGTACAACTCTTGAAGACATAGGCATAATCAAGGACTTTCTGAATGGAAAGTCCTGTTGCATAAAAAGTAACACCAAGAATCAACAAGTGGGACCATATTAAATTTAAAAACTTTCTGCACAACAAAAGAAACACAAAATAGAGTGAAGAGACAAGCAGCAGAACGGGAAAAACTTTTGCCACCTATTTTTCTGACAGACGAATAATATTTAAAATATGTAAATAACTAAAAACTTCAGACTCCCCCAAAATACAAGATCCAATGGGGGAAAAAAAGGAAATAAAATTAACAGACATGTCTCAGAAAGACAAATGGACCATAAATACATGATAAAATGTTTGACATCTCTGGTCATCACAGAAATACAAGTTAAAGTAATATTGAGATGTTATTTTACTCTCCAAAGAATGACCATCATCAAAAAATGTAATAACAAGTGCTACAGAGGCTATCTGGAAATTGGTGGAAATATAAATTAGTATAACTACTATGGAAATCAGTGTGGAAATTCCTAGCAAATCTAAAACTAGAAATTCCACTTGACTCAACCCCTCCTTCTGGGTATCTTCTTAAAACAGTTTAAATTATCACATGATGGTGACACATGTGTACTCTGAACCTTCTTTTAGAATGATCAATGGAGATTGAAGCCAATGGAATATTGACCAGATAAGCAACTAGATTTCTTTCTGGAGACAGGCCTCCGGTTCTGTGGAGCCAGTGAAAGCTGATAGGACAACTGCGGGGTCATGGCCAGGACGACTCTGGAGAAGAATTTTCACTGGGTAGGCTCCTCAGTAGAAGCTGGGAAGCCAGCAGAGAACGCTCCTCTTATATGTCCTCAGAAGTTCTCAGTGAGGTGAGAGAGAACTCTCTGGATGACCTTCTAGTATCCTCTGTCCCAGAGTGACCAGAGATATCACTGCTCAGCCATTTTGTAAGCATCCATTAAGAGTTGAGGTTTGGACTTTCTCTCTCTGCTAGTGAGTTAGAAACCCCTCTTTTTTCCCTCTAACCCCTGGGAAGTTAACTTTAGAACAACTTGGTTAGCTGAACCATCTTATCACGAACCTGCCCCTTCATCCAGATGGTCAGGCTGATATAGCTTAAAACTGTTTTCCTCTCAAGGAGGAGAGAAGCTCTCAGAGGAACAATTTACACTGGTGCCTTATATATGTTAACTAGGAGCTAATGGGGCAGGGTTAGTCAGCCTTTCTATTTTTTCATGTGTGTGTAGAAACTGATAAATGTGCTAGCATATGAGCTTTGGTTGCTGAGTAATGGGTATGAGGTTAACCTGCAAGCTTCATAAGTGTGTTGTAGATATAGAGACACAGAACTTTTAGAGTAGACTTTAAATAAACTGAGCTTTGCCTTGTTGCTAAGGAAGATTGCTAGGGGAGTAGGTAGATTATACGAATGTCTTAAAGAGTTATTTACCATAAGAATAGCCAAGACAGGATTCCTCCAAGCCACCAAATGTCTCTATCTTTCCTGGAGGTTATTTGTTTTCAAGACTAGGAAGTACACTAACCACTTTGCTTTTTGAGTTTTTTCCTCACTCTGTTTCAAAGGGAGGTTATGGTTCATATTTCTTGACTGTTGGCCTAATTTTGCTGGCAATGCTTCCTTCTTTAAACATGACTGTGATAGCCAGAGTCGACTGTCACTCATACTTTTAGAACTACATGCTAGAGGGAAAAGAGTGAGTGTCTGGGAAAGATAAGGGCAGGAGTTAGTAAGCATGTCTAGTTCACCCCGGCCAATCTTGTACTATCCATATGGCAGCTGCTTGCTCTGGAACAGGTCACCTCAGGGGATACCTTAAGATTATAAAAATCAAATAGAAATTAAAAGGGACACCAGTTTGTTCCCATGTATTTCAGGTGGGAGACTCAGTGTCAAAACCTCTTACTTCTTTGCAAAATATTCTTAAGGACTAGAAATTACTCAACCCTCACATTTTGAGAAAGAGAAGTTTAATGATTTTCTTCACCAGCACATGGCCTGCCTATTCCCTACAGGCAAAATGGAATTCAGATGTACGTCGATTAAGATTCTATTTCACACCTAGATTTGTATTGTAAAGAAATAAGGAAAATGTCAGAATTACCTTATGCTCAAACTTTCTTTGCATTAAGAAATAAACCTTACTCTTAGGGCAAGCCAAATAGCTCAGCGGATTAAAGCACCTGCTGAGGCAGACTCAGCAGCTGGGTTTTGTGCAGGTCCTGCCCACCCCACTCACCCCAGCATACTGAGACAATGATTGAGACTGGGCATGGTGGCACTCACCTGTAATCCCAGCTCTTTGGGAGGCTGAACACAGGAGGATCACTATGAGTCTGATCTATGTAGTGAGACCCTGTAGACCCTGCAGACCCTGTCCTAAAATTAAAAAAAAGAAAGAAAGAAAAGAAAAAGAAAAGAAATAAACCTTACTTTTGTTGAAAATATAAATGTGAGCCACAGGAAGACCAGACACCTCTGGCCCTTAAGACATCAGCTATCATTGAGCCTGAGATTTCCTATGTTTAACTTTGAACCCTGAGAACAAGGTTTCCAAGGCAACCTTAATCAAAGCCCCATCTACTATTACTAACCTCATGATGAGGTTTCCAAGACAACCTTGATCAAAGTTTTATCCACAACTACCAAGCCTAAGATCTAGCCCACGTGCCTTTGGTGTCTGAGGTCTCTCCTCCTGATCTTTGGAATCTAAGGGTGAGAATTCTAAACCAGCCATAATTGAAGTAACGGGCTATACTAAGGTAACCTGAAGGCCAGGGGAAGAGGGAATTAAACCAATACGTTCCTTCCCACAGCCCAAGACCCTAAAACAGCTAAAGGGATACCTAGGAACTACAAGCTTTTATCGCCTTTGTATAGCAGGCTATGATGAGATTGCACAACCCTTCTATCAGCTTATAAAGGAAGCCCAACAGGCAGGCCCCATAGTTTAACCCGGGAGCCTGATTCCCAAATTGCACCCCAGAAGCTTAAAGAAGCACTTCTGAATACCACAGCACTGGGCCTACTGACAGGCCACCATTTCAATCTATATACTGATGAAAGGCGGGGCATGGCTTTGGGAGTGTTCATGCAGTATCAAGGACCTGATCATGACCTGGAGGGCATCTAAGTCATGGGATTAGACACTGTGCCCAAGTTTGATCTGTGTGCCTTAGAGCTCAGCCTGCCATAGCTCTCCTGGGACCAGAGGCATCCAAGCTGGCTTTAGGCAAATATCTCACTGTATGTATACCTCAGGATGTGGCAGGACTTCTTTCTTCCAAAGGAAGCCAATGGTTCTCAGACAACCAGCTCCTTAAGTACTAGGCTTTACTTTTAGAAGGACCAGCCATACAAACAGATATGTTGCTCCCTAAGCTGCTACCTTACTACCAGAAAAGGAGGAAACTGAGGCTGAAAAATATGTCTGAACAGGTAATTGTGCATCTACACACAGACAGAGAAGACTTGTTAGACACACCTCAACTGACCCTGCCTTCACCTTCTTCTGTGGGCAGTTCCTTGATGGAATATGGGACAAAAAATGCAGGGTAGCAGGCTGGGGAGGTGGCCCAGTGGAATAAGTGCTTCCCTGGCAAGT